AAGAAACTCAACAAAAAAAATAACAACCTAGTTAAGAAATGGGCTAAAGGTATGAAAAGACATTTTTCAGATTTTTTGTCTTTCTTTTTTTTAACTTTTATTTAATAAATATAAATTTCCAAAGTACAGCTTTTGGATTACAGGGGCTTTTTCCTCCCATAACTTCCCTCCAACCCACAACCATCCCATCTCGCACTCCATCTCCCATCCCATGATTCATCAAGATTCATTTTCAATTATCTTTATATACAGAAGATCAACTTAGTATATACTAAGTAAAGATGTCAACAGTTTGCACCCACAACGAAACACAAAGTATAATGTACTCTTCGAGTACTAGTTATACCATTAAATCACATAGTACAACACATTAAGGACAGAGATCTTACATGGGGAGTAAGTGCCCAGTGAGTCCTGTTGTTGATTTAACAATTGACACTCTGATTTATGACGTCAGTAATCACCTGAGGCTCTTGTCATGAGCTGCCAAGGCTATGGAAGCATCTTGAATTTTCCAACTCCGATCTTATTAGACAAGACCATAGTCAAAGTGGAACTTCACCCTTCAGCAAAAGGTACTTCCTTCTTTGATGGCCCATTCTTTCCGTTGGGATCTCACTCACAGAGATCTTTCATTTAAGCCATTTTTTTTTTTTTGCCACAGTGTCTTGGCTTTCCATGCCTGAAATACTCTCATGGGCTTTTTAGTCAGATCCGAAAAACTTAAGGGCTGATTCTGAGGCCAGAGTACTATTTAAGACATCTGCCATTCTATGAGTCTGCTGTGTATCCCACTTCCCATGTTGGATTGTTCTCTCCTTTTTAATTCTCTCAGTTAGTATTAGCAGACACGAGTCTTGTTTATGTTATCCCTTTGACACTTAATCCTATCATTATGGTCAATTATGAACTGAAACTGATCACTTTGACTAGTGAGATGGCATTGGTACATGCCACCTTGATGGGATTGCATTGGAATACCTTGGCACATTTCTAGCTCTACCATTAGGAATAAGTCTGAGTGAGCATGAGCTGAACTGTACATCTCCTCAATCTCTTATTCCCACTCTTATATTTAACAGTGATTACTTTTCAGTTAAATTTAAATGCCTAAGAATAATTGTGTGTTAATTAAAGAGTTCAACCAATGGTATAAAGTAGCACAAAAAAATAATAAAAGGAATAAAGTAGTAAGTTGTTTCTTGACAGTCAGGACAAGGCCTGATCAAGTCATTGTTTCTTATGGTGTCCATTTCACTTAAATGGGTTTCCTTTTTGGTGCTCAGTTAGTTGTCACTGATCTGGGCGAACATATGATATTTGACGCTTTGTGACTGGCTTACTTCACTCAGCATGATGGTTTCCAGATTCCTCCATTTTGTTGCAAATAACCAGATTTCATTCTTTTACTGCTGTATAGTATTCTATAGAGTACATATCCCATAATTTCTTTATCCAGTCTTCTGTTGATGGGCATTTGGGTTGATACCATGTCTTAGCTATTGTGAATTGAGCTGCAATAAACATTGAGGTTCAGACATCACTTTTATTTGCCTATTTAATTTCCATTGGGTAAATTCCAAAGAGTGGGATGGCTGGGTTGTATGGTGTGGTTATATTCAGGTTTCTGAGGAATCTCCAAATGACTTCCATACTGGCTTTACCAGTTTGCATTCTCACCAACAGTGGATTAGTGTCCCTTTTTCCTCACATCCACAACAGCATCTATTGTTGGTAGATTACTGTATGTAAGCCATTCTAACTGGGTTGTGGTGAAACCTCATTGTGGTTTTGATTTGCATTTCCCTGATGGCTGGTGATCCTGAACATTTTTTCATGTGTCTGTTAGCCATTTGGATTTCCTCTTTTGAAAAATGTCTATTGAGGTCCTTGGCCCATCTCTTAAGTGGGTTGTTTGTTTTGTGTTGTGGAGTTTCTTGATCACTTTGTAGATACTGATTATTAATCCTTTATCGGTTGCATAGTTTGCAAATATTTTTCCCATTCTGTCAGTTGTCTCTTTAGTTTCCTGACTGTTTCTTTTGCAGTATGGAAACTTCTCAATTTGATGTAATCCCAATTGTTAATTTTGGCTTTGACTGCCTGTGCCTCTGGGGTCTTTTCCACGAAGTCTTGGCCTGTGCCTATATCTTGCAGGGTTTCTCCAATGTTCTCTAATAATTTGATGGTGTTGGGTCATAGATTTAGGTCTTTAATCCATGTTGAGTGGATTTTTATGTAAGATGTAATATAGGGGTCCTGCTTCATGCTTCACGTGGAAATCCAGTTTTTCCAGCACCATTTGTTGAATAGATTGTCCTTGCTCCAGGAATTGGTTTTAGATCCTTGATCAAGTATAAGTTGGCTGTAGATATTTGGATTGATTTCTGGTATTTCTATTCTGTTCCATTGGTCTATCCATCTGTTTCTGTACCAGTACCATGCTGTTTTGATTATAACCGCCCTGTAGTATGTCCTGAAATCTGGTATTGTGATGCCTCTGGCTTTGTTTTTGTTGTACAAGATTGCTTAGCTATTCAAGGTCTCCTGTGTCTCCATATGAATTTCAGCATCATTTTTTCCAGATCTGAGAAGAATGTCTTTGGTATCTTGGTTGGTATCGCACTGAATCTATAAATTACTTTTGGGAGAATGGACATTTTGATGATATTGATTGTTCCAATCCATGAGCATGGAAGATTTTTTCATTTTTGGCGTATCTTTTTCTATTTCTTTCAAGATATTTGTAATTCTCATCGTAGAGATTTTTGACGTCCTTGATTAAGTTTATTCCAAGATATTTGATTGTTTTTGTAGCTATTGTGAATAGGATTGATCTTAGAAGTTCTTTCTCAGCCATGGCATTGCCTGTGTATACAAAGGCTATTGATTTTTGTGCATTGATTTTATATCCTGCTACTTTGCCAAACTCTTCTATGAGTTCCAATAGTCTCTTAGTAGAGTTCTTTGGATCCCCTAAGTAAAGAATCATATCATCTGCAAAGAGGGATAGTTTGAGTTCTTCCTTCCCAATTTGTATCCCTTTAATTTCTTTTTCTTGCCTAAGTGTTCTGGCTAAAACTTCCAGTACTATATTGAATAGTAATGGTGAGAGTGGGCATCCCTGTCTGGTACCAGATCTCAGTGGAAATGCTTCTAATTTTTCCCCATTAAATAGGATGCTGGTTGTGTGTTTTTCATAAATTGCTTTGATTGTATTGAGGAATGTTTCTTCTGTTCCCAATTTGCTTAGAGTTTTCATCATGAAAGGGTGTTGTATTTTATCAAATACTTTGACTATCATCTGTTGTCTCTCAAATGCATTAACAGAAGCTGGATCAGAAGTGGAGTAGCCAGAATTCAAACCAACACTCTGATATATCATACAGGTGTCCCAAGTGGTGGCTTAACATGCCGTGCCACAATTCTTACCTATAATCAGACATATTACAAAACTACAAAAAATTCTTAAAATTCTTGTAGAACCACAAAGGACCTTGAGTTAGCCAAACAGTCTTGAGGAAGAGGAGCAAATAGGAAATCATCACACTTCCTGATCTGGAAATATTTTACAAACGTATACTAATTGAAAGAGTTAAGTTGGGTAATGGCATAAAGATAGACATACAGACCGATGTAACAGAATACAGAGCCCAGACATAACCTAGTGCATAAGCAGTCAACTTGTTGCCAATATTGGTGCCACAAATACACAATATGGAAATGATAGTATCTTCAAATTGTCCTAGGACAACTGGATATCTACTTGCCAAAGAATGAAAGTGTATCCTTATTTTACACCATACATAAAGACCAACTTAAAATGAACTGAAAGCTTAAACGTGAGACTCAAAACTGTAAAACTCTTAGAGGAAAATGTACAGGGAAATATTCTTGACTTTGGTCTTGGCAGTGATTTCTTGGATTTGACACGAAAATCACAGGCAATAAAACGTAAAATATGTAAATGAGACTAAATCAACCCAAAACCTTCTGTGCAGCAACGGAAACAGCAGAGTGAAAAACCAACCTATGGAATGGGAAAAATGTTTATGAACTATTTATCTGATGAGGGATAAAATATATATAAGGAGCTCTTACACTCAAGAGTAAGAACACAAATAACCAAGTTAAAGACCAGAGAAATGGCCGGCACCTCAGCTCACTAAGCTAATCCTCCGCCTTCAGCACCGGCTCCCCGGGTTCTAGTCCCGGTTGGGGCGCCGGATTCTGTCCCGGTTCCTCCTCTTCCATTCCAGCTCTCTGCTGTGGCCCGGGAGTACAGTGGAGGATGGCCCAAGTGCTTGGGCCCTGCACCCACATGGAAGACCAGGAGAAGCACCTGGCTCCTGGCTTTGGTTAGGCGCAGCGCCAGCCGTGGCAGCCATTTTGGGGGTGAACCAATGGAAGGAAGACCTTTCTCTCTGGCTCTCTCTCTCATTATCTAACTCTGCCTGTCAAAAAAAAAAAAAAAAAAGACCAGAGAAAGGACTCAAATAGACAATTTTCCAAAAAGACACACAAGTGGCCAACAGATATATTAAAAGAGGCTCAACATCCCTAATATTCAGGGAAATGCAAATCAAAACCACAATTACATATTCCTATTAGTCAAGATATGGATGCAACCTAATGTCTATCAACTGATATTTACAATTAAATATTATATTTAATTGTATCCCTTTCTGTGATGAAGACCTCTTCTCTTTTAATCCCAGATCAGCTTAGTCTACAACCTCTTGCACACTTCAGCTCATGGTTCATGGCCTGCTAAAAAATGCCTGCGTGACTCTGTTCCCACACATCAGCTACTCTCCCTCCTCCCAGAAGGAAAAAGACCACCCTTTTTTGCCATCTTATAATACAGTATTTATTTGTCTTCCCTCTGTCAAACCCTGAGCCAACCACTTGCCCCAGGTGTCCTGGGAAGGTATGGGAACGGGAATGCACAGGGCAGAGGAGGACAGGACAAAGACCTGCGGGAGGTGGTGACGACTCTTTCACATGGAGTAGAGGATGAGAAAGGCCACCATCAGGCAGAAGAGCCCCATGGCCTCCGAAAAGCCCAGAATCGCGTAGGAGAAGAGGGAAGGGTTCCTGGCATAACCAATGATGAGGCTCCCAAATACAGTCCCGATCCCAGCCCCAGAGCCAGCCACCCCGACGGTGGCAGCCCCGGCCCCAGTGAACTTGGCTGCTGTGTCAATGTCCCTTGAGATGGTGCTGGTTTGGAAGCTACGGCTCTGGCTCTGGAGAAGTGGGGTCAGGGGACACGGGGCTGCCACCCTGCTCAGGTGCTCATCTGTCAGCAGCTCGGGTCTCTTGAGCACCACTGCGGACAGCGGCTGACTCAGCAGCTGCGAGGTGCTCCTGACCAAGGAGGGCATGGAGACGAACTTGGAGCAGGCGTACATTGTCAGGCTGTCAGGGGCTGTAGCGTGAGAGCTGCTCCCAGTGCAGAGAAGACATATATATATATAATATATTGATAGCTATATATATATTTATATTTGGAACATTATTGAGACTTAGCCTGTTTTCTGCTGCTCTAACAGTAACACAGACCAGGTAATTTGCAAGGAAATTTATTTTTCCTACTTCTAGTGGCAAGGAAGTGCAATATAAGGATGCCAGCATGTGTTGGGGAACTTCTTCCTGCATTGTAACATGGCAGTGGACATCAGGTGTCCAGAGTAAGTATGCAAGAAAGAGCGCTCATTTTCATAACAAAGTCATTCCTGCAATAACTAGTCCACTCCTATGATAATGACATTGGAAACAATTCATGGCCTAATCACCTCTTAAATGTCCAGTTTCCAATGCTACCACTATGGTAATTACATTTCAACATAATTTTGAAAGAGACCATATAAAACAACATGGATTAACCTGCAGCCTATTATGCAAAATGAAATAAGACAATCACAGAAAGACAAATATTTCATGATCCCATTTATATGAGGCGTCTAAAATAGTCTAACTCATAGAAGCAAGGATCAAATGATGGTTACCAGTGTCTGTGGGGAGTGGGAATCAGTGAGTAGTAGTTCAAAGGGCATAAAGTTTCAGTTATTCAAGATGAATAAGTTCTAGAAGTATACTATATAATGCAGAGCTCATATTTAACAATATTGTCTTGTACACTTTAAAATTTTGTAATAGTTTAGATCTCAAGTGTTATCACAAAAAAGGAGTGAGAGCAGGAGGAAACTTTTGGAGGGGGTATATACTTTTGTTGCTTTGATTCTGGTGATAGTTTCACAAGTGTGTAGAAGTGTTCAAACTTATTTAAATTATATACATTAAACATGTGCAATTTGGGAATATAATATTTATACCTCAACCGACTTATTTAAAAATATGTATCCCATCTCCATGGCTTAGAAAACTATTAAAATAGGAATACAAATCAAATTGAACCATAGATTCAATGCAATCCCTATGAAAATTCTGGCTGTCTTATTTGAAGAAATTGACAAGCTGATCATGAAACTCATATGAAAAAACAAGTGACCCAAAATAGTCAAAGCAATCTTGAAAGATGAACAACATTGGAGGACTCACAAATCCAGACTTCAGAACTTACTACATAGGTACAGCAATCAAGACTGCATGGTAATGGCAGAAGAATAGGCATATATGTGTGTCATAATAGATTACAGTTGAGAGTCCAGAAATCTGATATTTGTGGTCAATTGAGTGCTAACAAGGGCAGCAAGACTATGCAATATGGAAAAGACTGTTTTCAATAAATGGTGCTAGAATGACTTCATAGCAACATGCAAATTAATTATTGGCCCTCAACTTCCTACTGTATGCATAATTTCATAAAAAATAGCATAAATGGAAATGATAAAATTAATGATCTAAATGTAAGATTAAAGCTAAAGAACTCTACTAAAAAAATTGCGTAAATCCTTGTGACCTGGAATTATGCAATTATTTCTTTAAAATGACACCAAAAGCACACACAACAAAACCAGAAATAAGTAAATAATGCCTTATCAAAATTAAACATTTCTGTACCACAAACAAAATTATCAGTAAATGGAAAAGACAATCAACGGAATGGGAGAAAATACTTGTAAAGCATACATATGATGAAGGATTCATATCCAGAATATATAAATAACTCTAAACACTCAAAAATAAAAGTATGACTAGCCATATTTAAAATGAAAACGGGGTTGAAATAGTCAATTTTTTAAAACTTTTATTTATTAAATATAAATTTCCAAAGTACAGCTTATGGATTACAATGGCTTCCCCCCTCCCCATAACTTTCCTCCCATCCGCAACCCTCCCATCTCTTGCTCCCTCTCCCATTCCACTCGCATCAAGATTCATTTTCAATTATCTTTATATACAGAAGATCAACTTAGTATATATTAAGTAAAGATTTCAACAGTTTGTACCCACACAGAAACACAAAGTGTAAAATACTGTTTGAATACTAGTTATAGCATTAATTCACATTGTACAACACATTAAGGACAGAGATCCTACGTAAGGAGTAAGTGCACAGTGACTCCTGTTGTTGACTTAACAAATTGACAAATTCGGATCTGGCTGAAGAACCCATGAGAGTATTTTAGGCATGGAAAGCCAAGACACTATGAAAAAAAAAAAAAACAACTAAATGAAAGATCTCTGCGAGTGAGATCCCAGTGGAAAGAATGGGCCATCGTTGACTATGACCTTGTCTAAAAAAGATCGGAGTTGGCGAACTCAAAAGGCTTCCATAGCCTTGACAACTCATGACAAGAGCCTAGGGTGGAATAGTCAGTTTTTTGTAGAAGATATGCAAGTGAATAATAAGCACATTAAAAGTTACTCAAAATTACTGTTCATTAGGGAATACAAATCCAAACTACAATGAGATACCACTTCATACAAATTAGGATAACCATAATAAAGAAATAAGGAAATTAGCTAGTATTGGAGAGAACATGGAGAAAATGCAACCATCCTACATTTATTTTGTTCGTGTACAATTATGTGCCTGCTTTGGTAAACAGTCTGACAATTTCTCAATAAGTTAAATAGAGTTACTACTCCTTACTATATACATAAGATAATTAAAAGCCTTTCTATATATGTACATAAATCTTCATAGCAGCAGTATTCAAACAACCCAAATAGCCACCAACTGATGAACTCATAAACAAAATGTTGTATATCCACACAATGGAAGGTTACTCATTCATAAAAAGGAATTGAATACTTATACCTGCTACAACATAGATGAACCTTAAAAACATTATGCTATACATGAGAAGCCAAACACAAAATATCAGATGTTGTATGAATCTGTTTATATGCAATGTCTAAAATAGGCAAATGAATAGAATCTTAAAGTACATTGTGACTTCCAGAGACTGGAAGAAAAGGATGACTGCTAATGGGACCAGGGTTCCTATGTGGAGTTAGTTTTATGGAATCAATAATGGTGATGTTACAACATCTATGTCAATTTTCTGAAAGCAGCTGCATTGTGTGAATTAATAAAAGGGTGAATTTTATAGTATATTAATTATATGTGAATCAAAATATTGTGAAAAGGACATTGAAATTTACCAGAAATAAATATATCACATTATGATAAAATAATGTCATAATAAACAAAACAAATAATATTAAATTTGACCATTCACACATAATTTAAAATTTAACTCAAAACTGATCACAGACTTAATGGTAAAATAAAATTTTTTAGAATAAAAAAAGGAAACATCCTGTGTCAAAGACTATGCATAAATCTTGTAGATTTGATACCAAATATAAGGTCTCCAAAGTAGAAGCATGATAATTTGCACTTCCTGAAAATTCAAACCTTTCTCATTTCAAAAGATGTGAAGATGAAAAAATGAACTACAAACTGAAAAATACTTGCCTGCAACCAACAAAACACTAACATCTAGATTATCTAAAATTTCTCTAAATTCAGTTTTTAAAACTCATAAAAAGTTTAAAATTATGTAGAGACTTCTTATTGAAAAGGATATATGGGCATAAAATTTCATGGAAAATGGAATTAAAAGCTAAGATTATTTTGGTATAAAAATATTTGAAATCCATGCATAGTTTTCTTATACATTTTTCCATGAACTTTTTGAGAATCCTTCCTACAGATGGTAAATAAGCACATGTATAGCATTAGCAAAGTGCAAATTGAAGCCATGGTGAGATAAGACTGTACACTGAAACAGAATGGCTAAAATGAAAATAGTTACACCACACATTGGTGAGCATGTAAAGAAACTGGATCCCTCTGCTGGTAGGAATGTAAAATGTTACAGCTACTCTGGAAAATAGTTTGGCACTTTCTTAAAAAACAAAACGTGCAACTACCATATGACCAGCAAATGCACTCCTGGGCATTTATCCCAGAGAAAGGAAAACTTATGTTCACACAAAACTCTGTATATAAATATTTATAGTAGATTTATTCACAATAGCCAAAAACTAGAAATAACCCAGATGTCCTTCAATGAGTGAATGAATGAAAAAACACTTCTGTATCCCTACCTTGAAATACTACTGAACAATTAAAATAAATAAACTGAGGATGACAGTGTGATACAGCAAGTTAAGTTGCCACTTATAATGCCAGCATCCCATTTCAGAGTGCCAGTTCAAGTCCTGATTGTCCTGCTTCTGATCCAGCTTCCTGCTAATGTGCTGGCTAGTCAGTAGAAGATGGCCCAAGTATTTGGGCACCTGCAACTCAGGATGGGGCTTCAGGCTTCTGGCTTCAGACTGGCCCAGACCTGGATGTTGCAGCCATTTGGGGAATGAACCAGAAGACAGAAGATATTCTCATTCTCTCTCTCTCTCTCTATCCCTCCCTCCCTCCCTCCCTCTCTTCAAATAAATACATAAATCTTTAAAAGCAACAAAATGAATGAATTATTGAAATAGTCAATATCTTAGATGAGTCTCCATAGAATTTACTGATTAAAGAGAAAGATATTAGTCCCAAAAACATACTTAATGCATGATTCAATTTTTGTAGCATTCTTGAAATGGAAAAATTATTATACCTGAGGATGTCATGTTATTTGGTATATAGTTATAAATGTTGTCTGCACTGAAGTATATCCTCTACACATTAATGCACCCTTCTTCCATCACTTTATGATCCTGTCAATAAACTCACATTATATGATATTAATATCCATGCTTTCAAGAAAAATAATATGCACCTGTGTGTTCAATATTTCTATATAGAATGAATATACAAAAATGTTAAAAAACTTAAATATAGAAATAAATATTGAAATAAAATTTTAAACTATAGTAGTATGGAATAGATTAGTAGTTGTCAGGGTTAAAAAACTGGAGGTAATAGAAAGTGAAGATTGCTATAAAAGTACAATAAGAGAGATCATGTGGTGATGGAAATGTTATCTTTACTGATGTCAATACTCTGGTTCTGATATTAGACTATGACCTTGTAAGGTAT